CAGCCCAAGTATCCATCCTCGTCCAGGCTTCTTGCTGGAAGCTTCTAATATCCATTATCTTATTTCATGCTCAGGCAGTCTTGGGAGTTATATGTTATTCCTTCCATCCATCTTTTTATCATTTGTTTTCATTTTTATTTGTGGTAAAATACACATAACAAAATTTACCATCTTAACCGTTTTTAAGTGTATGGTCAGTAATGTTAAGTACATTCCCATTGTTGTGAACCCCTCACCACCATCCATCTCTTTTCACGTTGCAAAAGGAAATTCTGCACTCATTAAACAGTTACTCCCTATTTCTCCCTCACTTCATCCCCTTTCACTTTCTGTCTCCAGGAATTTGACTACTTTAGATTTCTCATATAAGTCGAGCCACACAGTATTTGTCTTTTTGTGACTGGTTTGTTTCACTTAGCATAATGTCTTCAAGGTTCATCCATATTGTAGCTTATGTAAGAATTCCCTTCTTTTTAAAAGCTGAATAATATTCGTTGTATGGATATACCACATTTTGTTTATCCATTTATCCATCCATGGACACTTGGATGGCTTCCACCTTTTGGCCATTGTAAATAATGCTGGTATGAACACAGGCATACAAATATCTCTTTGAAACCCTGCTTCCAGTTTTTTGGAGTATACTCAAAAAGGGAATTAATTGCTGTATGATATGGTAATTCTATTTTTAACTTTTTGAGGAACCACCATACTGTTTTCTGTAGTGGCTACACCATTTTATATTCCACCAACAGTGTGCAGGTGTTCAAATCTCTCCACATGCTCACCGCCTGTTATTTTCTTTTTGTTTGGTTTTTTTGATAATAGCTGTCTTAATGGATGTGAGGTGGCATGTCATTGTGGTTTTGATTTGTCCCTCATTTTTATAAAAGCAGTTCAAACAGAATTGAACAACTGTAAGTGGAAGAGCTTGTAGTCAACTTTGGTCTCCATGTTGTTTTCTACTATGTATCAGTTGTCTTCAGAATGAAAACTGTATTTCCGTGAAAGCTTGACTTGGCATGGAGAGGCCCTGCTTCCTACCAATCAAGTTCAGTTACACCGTTGTTAGG